TGAGATACTAAATAGGTCACTAGGATTGAATGTCAGGCTTAGATCAATATGTAGGGATGAGATACTAAGTGGGTCACTGGGATTGAATGCCAGGCTTAGATCAATATGTAGGGATGAGATACTAAGTAGGTCACTAGGACTGAGTATCAGGCTTAGATTAATATGTAGGGATGAGATACTAAGTGGGTCACTGGGATTGAATGCCAGGCTTAGATCAATATGTAGGGATGAGATACTAAGTAGATCACTAGGACTGAGTATCAGGCTTAGATTAATATGTAGGGATGAGATACTATGTAGGTCACTGGGATTGAATGCCAGGCTTAAATCAATATGTAGGGATGAGATACTAAGTTGGTCATTAGGACTGAATGGCAGGCTTAGATTAATATGTAGGGATGAGATACTAAGTAGGTCACTAGGATTGAATATCAGGCTTAGATTAATATGTAGGGATGAGATACTAAGTAGGTCACTGGGATTGAATGTCAGGCTTAGATTAATATGTAGGGATGAGATACTAAGTAGGTCACTAGGACTGAATATCAGGCTTAGATTAATATGTAGGGATGAGATACTAAGTAGGTCACTGGGATTGAATGACAGGCTTAGATCAATATGTAGGGATGAGATACTAAGCAGGTCACTAGGACTGAATGACAGGCTTGGATCAATATGTAGGGATGAGATACTAAGTTGGTCACTAGGACTGAATGGCAGGCTTATATTAATATGTAGTGATGGTTGAATTTGTGGGATAATTTTAATGGGAAAGTTAATATTTTTGGAATGGATGGTTTACACTTACACAAGTCAGGGGCAAGCATGTTAACAAGAGCTATTAACTCAGCTGTAGTGGTAGATATAAACAAGAGCTATGATATTAGTGAAATGGGAAATATAATTAACAGGAAAACATGTACAACAGGTATAAAACATAAACGTATTTTAAAATCTATGATTAATTGTTACTATGGTAATGCTAGGCATATTAGAAATAAATTTGATGAGTTCAAAGCAGTTGTGGAAACTGAGGATTTTGATATTATGTGTATTAGTAAAACTTGGCTGGATTTGAACAATTTTGATGAGAAAAATGTTTTTGAAATACCAGGCTACAGATTATTTACTAGAGATGGAGTATTGAAAACAGGGGAGGAGTAGCTTTATATGTGAATTGCATCCTGTTGAGTTAGAGCATGCTAAAGAAAATAGCACTGAGGTTGAGTCAGCTTGGGTTGGTGTTAGTGGATATAAAGGGAAAAGTCTTGTAATTAGGATTTATTATAGACCACCAGGTCAGAATGTGGAGATTAATGAGAAACTGTATAATGAGATCAGAATGGTAGCTGAAAAAGATGTTATTATGAGATATTTTAATTTCAGGGGTATTGATTGGGGGAAATTTCGAGTCTGACAGCGAGAGGGATAAGTTTGGGGAAATTGTTCAGGATACTTTTATACACCAAATGGAGAGGAAGCTATATTAGATTTAATATTAGCATCTGATGTGAAT